AGTTACAGTACCCGTCGCACTTGATCAACAACTTGCGCGCCGCGCGAGGCAAAACATTGAACGAATCGGGGCCCAAAAGTAGGTGACGAAAGCTCCTTCTTAGCACTGAATGAGCTCAAAAACGAGCACGCACGTCTCGAAAAATGGGGCGCGCGCTTTGCCGGTGCAAACAGGAACTTGCAAGAAGAAGTTGAATTGCTGCGCGCAGAGCTGCAAAAGACGCACGAGCGTGACCCGCTCAAGTCGGGCAAGTTTGTTTCAAAGGAAACGTTCGACGAGCTCTCGCGCAACTTTGAAGCTCTGAAAGCGTCGTACCAGGAGCTAAGCGAAAAAGCAGGCCACTCCAACGACGAACTAATCTCGCTCAAAGCTGCGAACGCGGAGGCTAACTCACAGAGAGACCACAGTTCGCTGCAAGCCGCGAACGCGGCAGAAGTGCTGGACAAGTACAAGCGGATGGCGCAAACACTGCAAGACGACCTTGCTCGCAGGCAGGGCACCATCAACGACCTCAGTGCGCGCTTGGTAGAGCTGCAAAATCGCTTTGACATTCTTGCACACCACGCGCTGCAGCTTGGCGAGGAAAAGATTTCGCTGGTCGAAGCGCTGCGCGAGAAGCAATCGCAACTGGACTTCGCGTTGGCGCAACTGCAGCTACTCGGCGCCAACGGTAAGCAGTTGGAGCACTACGAGCGTCGCAACAAGCAGCTCGAAGACACGAATGACGCGCTGCGCAAACAAGTCAACGACCTGCAGCAGAGGCTCGAAGCGGAACTGAAGCCTGTGCACCACGTGCCGGCTGTCGCGGCTAACGCCGCACCGCGCGACGCGTCATCGAACTTTGGGCTAAGCAACGTGCAAAACCTGCAGAAGCTCGGGAAGACGCCTTATCGTGCAGAAGCCGGCGTCAAGATCAACAACTTTATCGCCGAACTGCCCCGCGCAACGATCATCAAGCAGCTGCAGAACAGCAAGCAACGTTCGCTGCTGCTGCGCGTCCGTTGGTTCCCGAAAACCGGTAAGCACATGTTCGAAACGCGCCACATGTTCATCGACTCCGCAAACAATGTGCTCGGATGGGCACATAAGAACAATGGCAACGTTTCAACCATGCTCCACTTCGACGAGATTGAGAAGTTGTGCTACGGCTACAAATCGCGGATGGCAGCGTACAAACGCAGACTGGAGCCGAGTCAGGGCGTGAAGTCTCCCTCCTCTCCAAGCGAGGCCGAAGAAGAGTTGAGCGTGCCGGTGGTCGGCAGCTCCAAGGGGCTCATCACGCAATACCCCAAAATTTCATTGACCAACTGCTTCTCGATTCACCTGACCAATGGAAAAGTGTACGACTTCTTCACTGCGACTGAGAGCGAGTGCTTTGAGTGGATGATGAAGTTCAACGCGGCGCTTCACGACATGAGCATCCCCGGCGCTTTCAGCCGCGACGAGTTTTATCGAGAGCGCGGCTGGACACGTCTGGTAGAAACGTGCGCCATCAAAGGTATTTCAAGTTGCGCGCTGCTCATCGAGGGACTGCAGCGCACGCAAACGTTTGCGATGTAGCCTAGTTGCCGGTCTCGCCGCGGATGCTAACGAGGTAGTGGTTGTCTCTGTCTTGCGCCACAAACGCTTCGTAACAGCGCAAGCAAACGTTGCATGGATTTCGGTCGCAAAGCACGCTGCCGTGAACTTGGAAGCGCGCCGAAGAGAACGCACAGATCTGGCACACCGTGCAGTTCGTTGATTTCGACAAATAGCACGTCTGCTCGGCCGGATTGTTACTCTCAAACGTTTTGACGAGCTTCAAACGCACTATGCCATCTTGGAAAGTTGCGAATGCTGCTTTCCGCGATATGAGCTGCTCTACGGAGCTGATTCCGCGCAGTTCGAGCTGCGCGCCGTCGTGTGAGAAGAAAAAACAATTTTCGTCTGAGACGTCGTTTCGATTAAAGATCTTTTTGGCGAATGTTAGCAGGCTGCAGGTCGCCACTGCATTGACGAAAAATAAGAAGTTGTTTTTGTCGTTTTTGATCCAGTCCACTGAGAGCCTGTAGTATTTTTTAGCAAGTTCTACACCCAGCGGGCTGGAAGCTAACGCTACATTAGCTTCGCACACCTGCTGATCGCCGAGTAGCTGCTCGAACTCGTGTCGCAGCTTCAGCGTTTCGCTTTCCGAAAGATTCAAACGCGAAAATAAATCAAAACTTTGCGCACTGTTTAATTTGGCGAAAAACTGCCCAGTCGGAAAAAACCGCGCACTTCTGCATGAAGCCGCAATGTGCAGAATTGAGAGCAGCGGAAAGTCGTATCGGTTTAATTTTTTGTTTGCATCGTTTAGGTAGGGATCTGTATAACTGGTTGAGCACTTACATCTCTGTTCGAGACGCTCCGCAATTTGCGAACTCACTCTGTCAAACGGTTTTAGAAAATCCATTAAGTGGTTTATTGCTCAATAAAACGGACATGAAAATTTTTCTATCTGATCTCTATTATATTTTTGGAATGGCTGCAGACCGCTCCTTGCTCGGACTTATTATTCCAGGTGTTGTCGTTCTGTTCATAGCATGAGCAGCGTTCGGAATCTTGTTGTCGATTGCGGAATCCGTGTCATAAGGGCCGAAGTCGCTAGTCATCGTGCTGGGCAAAAGCTCTGACTTGCTGAAAAAATTAAAGTCATTTGAATGTTCTGCAAGAAATTTCCTGCCGTACACTTTTTCTGTCATAGCGCTAAGTCTGCGATAGCCATACTGATTAGTGACGTTGCTGAGCTCCTTTTTAATTTTATTGCTGTAATTCACAACTTTTCGAATTTCTTCAGCATGCGTTTCCTTCAGCAAATTTAGTTCGCTGAGCAAGTTCGCTTTGTCATTTCGTAACTTCGCGACCTCCACTTCATACTCTTCAAGCTGTAGCTCGAGGTTGCGAACGCGCACATCGACGAAGCAGCCTTTGGTGCTCGAAGAATCCTCGCTGAATGTATGCCGGTGCGAACTTGAACTGTGCGCTGAGGCGGCTGTGTCGAGCGAGCCGAGATGCAGTTTCTGAACTTTTGCGAGTTCGTTGCAAATAGTGCCGATTTTATCCTTGAGGCCGGCGTTTGCCTCTAGCTGTGCCTGCTGCAAGCTAGCTATTTTGTCTGAAAGCGTTGAAAGCACTTCCTTTTTTAACACCTCCGTTACGTTACTATCTGGCAGATGCTTGTTTTGTTCGTCCGGAAGCTGCTGAATGTTGACCACTGCGTTGTTGAGTTTTTCGACATAATCAACGAGCGATTGAAATTTTTCTCCGTGCTGTGAAAGAGTAGATTGAATATCTTCAAGGAAACTCTTAAGTTCGCCTGGCATCTGTGTGTGCGCGTCTGACTGCAAAGCAGTACTGGACTCCTGTGACTTAGGTTCCTGAGACTCTGGTATCTGCAAGCATTTAGCTGGCGTTTCGAGTTTAATTAAATTGGATGATTCCACAGGAGTCGCACCGAAGCGAGTTGAATTTTTGTTTTGGGCGAGTTCCTGAATAATTGCTAAAATTTCTCGAGAACTCTGCGTGTAATTTAAAAAGTCGAGCGACAGTAGTGCGTTTGCGCAATGAACGTTGCAACCGCAGCAGTGGTTTACGGGGTCAAAGTCTGCGACTTCTCGAACGCGCGAAGGCACAATGGTAACTTCGTCGTCGAAAAATAGCGCGGTTCGGTGAAATGCATAGCTGCTATTCACAAACTTTACGACAATGCTGCGATCGCATTGCGACGCTGCCTTTTGGATGACATGGAGCGGTAACTGCTTCCAAATTTTTGCGAACAGCAACCATTCCGGGTCGTTCTGCGCCACTGCAAGCCAGCGCAAATCTTGCGGAGCTGCAGTATACAGTGCGCTGAACATTAGCCACACGGTATTGCAAGAAGTCAATGCAACGGTTCGCAAACTGAGAGGCGCTTCGCGCCAGAGATCAGCGAGACCCAACCAGTTTTTGTTCTGAGTTGCGTATGCTACGTACTTCAGGTCGGCTGGCGCAAAATGTTCCGAGAGCAGCTGCTGTATTTTGTTTTGTGCGAATGTCGGCACGTTCGCGCCATCAGCAGAAAACGCTGTGGGCATTGCGAGAAAAGATCCAGAATCTTCGCATTTCAAGACACGCTGAAACGGTCGTTTTACCGCGCTGCTAATAGCCGGGTCGAGATGGAGGGCCGAGAATCCGTTCAGCAGTTCATGAACCAGGCTTGGAAGAAATTGCGTGTCGGTGAAGTACGGAGCTTTCACAAATTTAAGCACTATTTTCAATAGCTTCGTGTACGAATCAATTAGCTTCCCCACCAATTGCGAGTTGTTTAATTGCTGCGCGTAGCGATTCTGCGCAAGTGGCTCTGCAAACTCTTCAACGGTTTCGCGCATTTCATTCTGAGGTGTCCTGCTGCAAAAGTAGATTTAGCGCGATGTAGCCTTGTTTGCTACCGAGAATTACAAAGAAGCTTGGCCAGATCGCTGTGCACCTTCGACAAAACGTGCGGGTTATCATCAGCCTTTTTTATTTTTCTAAATACTAAACAAGCAGGCCGGGTGTGTCGGGAAAACAGGCTGATAGTCTGTTTTCCTGAGAGGGAAGGTCTGAGATGCCACGACAGAGAAATCTACTGCTCGTAAGAGTTGCGTGAGGTATAAGAAAACCTGCATTGCACTGAAACTGCTCATAGGCACGCCAAGTTGAGATAGATCCCGGCAATAGCATTGCTATAACTCGATTCAGACTACTCGCTTGCTTAGTAAATTTCTAACTGTTTCGCGGTAAGAGCTGAAAATCATGCGAGGCGCGCGAGGTGTTATATTTTGCGCGTCTTGGGCAAAGTCCTTGTGCAGTTTGGCTGAAAGAGCCGATCCGAGATGGATCGCGGCACCGCCGTGCGGTGTTGCATGCAAATTGCAACTTGCAAGAATGAGATAATTGATTTGATCATAGAATGATAACAAAATAAGGCTTGTCAGCTTTTACTACCGTAACACGTAAATAAATTAGGCCTGCTTGGCGTCGAGTCCAAGCATTAAATCATCTATTTTTATCAGCATCGCGCTGCACTCGACTGCAGTCTTCAAAATTTGCGCTTTGACAGAAAAAGTGTCAATGATGCCTGCTTGCAGCACGTCTACTAACTCGCCAGATCTTCCGTCGATGCCGAGATTGCGTTGCACGCCGCATTCAGCGTGACTCGTCGCGAGTTGCTGCACAACACGCGTGGCGTCTGCACCCGCGTTTTCCGCTAACACGCTAGCAATCACACTTAAACTTTGCATGACAACTTTGTATCCTTCTAACATGCGCGCAGGCACCCGCGGCAACTGGCCGGCAAGTTGACTCGCCAGCTCCATCTCCGTGGCTGCTCCTCCGGGCAGGATGCGTGGGTCAATCAGAAGATTGCGAGCGACAGCGAGTGAGTCGTTAAAGTTGCGCTCCACCTCGTTCATAGAGTCCTTAGTGCCGCCGCGTAACAAAATTGTGCACGCTTCAGGATTTTCACAATCAGTCAGAAAAGTCCAGTAGTCATCGTCAATTTTTCTAACTTCAAACAGATGGCATTTTCTGCCCACGTGGTCGATCGTTATCTCTTCGCAACTGTGCACTATTTGTGCACCAGTCACGAGCGCTAGCCTTGCTTGGTCTGTTTTGCGCGTTCGGCGGATGACTGCCACTTTTGCACGCATCAAATAGTGGGCGGCGAGGTCGCTTACTCCTTTTTCAGTAATCACTAGGTTGCAACCAGTGTCGATGAGCTTCTGCGTCATGCGTTGAATTTCGCGCTCTTCCTGGTCCAGAATGCGCTCGAAATCTTCAGCGTCACGAATTTCAACGTTCGTCATACTCTCGCCTTTTTTGTATTCAAGCGGGCAGTCGAGCAAAACTATTTGAGGATCGACAATCTTGCGTCGCATTCGCGAGTGAGTTACATCCTTCTGCATAATGATTCCGTTAAAAACGCAACTGTTTTCAATGCTGCCTCCGGGAATCTTTTCAACCCTGATGAACCTACTGATGTCAACCGAAGTCAACTTCGCTGTTAACTCCTTTTTTACAGTTTGAAGCGCTTGCAGACTAAGCTCAACTAGTTTCGAATTGACAGAGTCAGAAAACTTAGTTCCTAAGCAAGCAATCAAAGCTCCTTTAAGTTCATGCAAATTCTTCGTATCAAGCTTAGTTGCAAGAGATTCAAGTATTTCGAGAGATTGTCTAAGCGCCAAATGAAAACCGCGGATGATGTCGTGTGGATGAACATTCCGTTCAATAAGAGCTCCACATCTTCTCATAATTTCACCCGCCAAGATGATGACAGAAGTCGTGCCGTCACCCATCTCATCGTCCTGCGATTGACTTAATTCAATTAAAGTTCTAGCGGCAGGGTGGGTGACGTCGATCTCTCTCAAAATAGCGTTACCGTCGTTAGTAAGTACTAGACCTCCCATAGGATCAATGACCAACTTCAACATGCTATTGGGTCCAAGAGTAGTTTTTACCACGTTGCTAATGGCACACGTTGACTCAATGGTGGCATACTGCGTGTGTGTACCATGTTCTCTTTGAACATCCTGTGATAGAACATAGATTGGCTGTGAAGAGCGTAACATGAAAAAGATAAATATATAAATAATTCCACTGCCGGGATTTGAACCCGGGTCGCACGGGTGAGAGCCGTGTATCCTAACCAACTAGACTACAGTGGATGATTCTTCACTAGTACTAATACAACTAGCGCTATTACGAAGAGGTAGAGTTGGAAACTCATTATCTCCTCACGCCTGAATAGCACAGGGGTTAGTGCATTCGCTTCGTAAGCGAAAAGTCGTGGGTTCAAATCCCACTTCAGGCTATTGCGTTTTTTCTGATAAAAAGATAAAACTACTTCAGTGGTTTAAGTATCGACGCTTATGCTTTAGTTTTAAGACCACTATCCATCACTTCGTACAGTTAATTTCCTGCTGATATCAATGTAACATATTTCACAAAGTTTGATTTATTCAGTGCTACTTAAACTTAATTGTCTAGACTCTATTAACAGAAAAATAGCTTAAAACCGAGCTTGATCTTAAGAGTGGAGAAGTGATGACAATGATGCTATTGTTTTTCTTAAACGTAATATTATGATTTTTGGAATCGGCATAGTAGTCTTATAATGTTGTTAGTTTCCCTACAGTTGCATCAAATTACTTCTAAAAATAACTATTAACACTTTACTTTCATGTGATTTTATCTACATAAACTATCTTTTTGTATCTAACTATCGCTCGACTTTACTTTTGATATAAAAATAAAGTCACCTACCTCTCCATAGAAACATTGTGTCCTTTTTATAATATATAGATACACTAGGTTTACACGATGCGCGCACTTTACTAGTTTTTCCTTGATTATAAATCTTTTATGCGTTTACTTTGAGCTCACCGTAGTGCAATAGTTCTGTACTGACGTGCATTTTCAAACCAATCAAAGTTAAAATACGCACAGTCACAGAAATATCAGAGTGTACAGACAAAAGAACCGTACAGTAGTTTTCATCGTTAGGGGCATAAAATGATTCTAGACACGTATCTAATCATATACAAACATATAGCGCATAGGATAAAGAATAGTAATAATAAGTATTAACTTGCTGTAGAAAAAAAGTTAGACTCGGAATTATAAACATTTCATCAATATTAAACGATATTGTTAACATACAGCACACCGCCTGCGGGGCTCGAACCCGCGACTGCAGGATTAAAAGTCCTGCGCTCTACCAACTGAGCTAAAGCGGCTATACGTAGTTATGCAAGGTAAACTCAGCAAGAGAAACTGATTGTAGAGCTCGATTATCGTGAAAGTTAATGGTGTACCGGTTGTAGCTCAGTTGGTAGAGCACTTGACTGTAGTGGATATCAGGTAGTCGGCGGTTCGATTCCGTCCAACCGGATTTAATAATTATTTCTAGTTAAGAATTTAAGAAAATGTCTACAGCAGGAATCGAACCTGCGTCTGGACGGCCACAACGTCCTATCCTAACCACTAGACGATGTAGACCAGCATGAACATTAAATCGTAAACCAAGACACATATTTACTTAGCTTGATACAATCACATCAGTATACGCTTCCGTGGCGCAATTGGATAGCGCGCAGGACTTCTAATCCTGAGGTTGCGGGTTCGATTCCCGCCGGAAGTATTTTGATAAGTTTCTGGAGAATGATTCATAATGGGTTTTGAAGACGTTTCTCTAAATATTGTTGCGTCAGATTTTAAATATAGGTTGATCGATCCTTCTGTTTTGTTCTTATCATGGAAGGGAGAGCACGAAATATTGATGAAATCGCTTTTGCCTACAGGAGATCAGTTAAACGAAGATAACTCTCTTAGAAACCATGATGAGTAGAATTCTGACTGTTCTGTGTACATTCGTGTTAGCAAGGAAATTTCGTTCACACTTGGTTACTGTAGGAGATAGAGTATTCGGATATGATGATTATAAGAATAGCACATGCCTCGAACCGGCGCTTTTCGAATTTACTGATCTTCACTTATCTGAGCTGTCTACTATAATCGACTTACCAAGTCCCCTATGTTTTGCGACATTAGCGGCATTATCAGATTCTTTACTTGTTCTTATTGGCGGTGTATACCTAGACAATTCATCAAATGACGATACATTTGTCTATGACATAGTACAAAATACGTGGACTAAAGGATTAAATACGACGCCTTTGGTTTCCCCAAGATTTCAAAAAGATCCTCATGTGTGCGTTAACGGACAGATATACGTATCTGGGGGAGTGTCTGTACACAAAGACATTGTAGATACTTGGATTTTGGATATTTCTACCCAAATTATACAGGGTAGAGCTGCAACCAACAGTTACCGTTGGAAACGCATTGGCGAGATTACGGCTGCACATGCTGCGGGTGAAACGCTGTTTTTAGATTGCAGAGATCAGAGGGTATTAGAGCTCTATGTGGAATGTGGAATCTACTTCATAGACACAGCGCATTTTGAGAAACTAACGTATAAAGCTTACGATCGCTGCTTAGGCGATCATGCTGTAATTTTTTACGCCGCAAAGAAGATTTATGCTTTCGACGACGTACGGTACGTGCACAGACAGAAAGCTTTGTGGCTCAGTGTTTTGGATAAAGTTCAGGAAACACTGTATTGGAATCCGGTAGAAAGAAATCAACTCTTATTACCTGAGGAATTCGCTGTTGCGCCCGTCGACGCCAACCGAGTGATGCTTCTCGCCCGAGTATCCATCCCGAACTTCGATAAGAATCATGTAATCAGATACTATGAAATAGATAAAGACAGCTACAGCAGCGACTCATGCTACGACGCTTCCGAATACAGTGGGTCAGTTTGTAGATGTTCAAGCATGCGTCAAGGCGTTTTCTGTGAATACGCTTCAGCGATTACCGACAAAATCAGAATCTGTTCAGGTAATGGCGAGCTTGATGTAAACAATGAATGTCACTGCTTCAATGGTTTCAGCGGCTTTTATTGTCAATATGGCGAGCTCAAGTGTCATTGTCAAAAGGATTTTTCAGGACTCTACCACGGACGGTGTGATTACAATGGCGATTGCATTTGTGATACTGGATACGATGGGATCGATTGTTTAGAGAGAACAAAGCAAGTAATTACGTGTTGCGAAGCGGGTCTTATTGCTGATGAAAACGGTGTTTGCAAATGTAGTTCGGGCAGGTTTGGATCTCGTTGCCAGGTTACTGTGAACTATGTCCGAATAATTCAGAATGAACTACTCGGTTTACTACTCACCAACCCAAAGCTTTCTAGTAGTAAAGCTCATGATCTTCTCCGCTTTGTAAATGCTTCCAATGATTTTACTCGATTCAGTAAACTATTTGTGGAGGACTCGAGTTGCGGACAACTACAGTTTAATGATAATATCGTTAGTGCGTTGGGAATTAGGATTGTTATGCGCTCGAATAACGCCAATGATCTGCGAATCATGTATAGCGGCATGACCTTGAAGGATCAGCTAGGATATGACTACGCTGAATTAGCTGAAAAACAACGGCGGAGCGAAGAAAATAGTGTACCGCAACAATCCGAACTTCAGCGTGAACCTAAGGAAGAAGAGACAAGCAATAGTGAGTCAGATGCTGATTCGAAGCCTGCGCCGGTGGATTCACCTGAGCTTGTAGAATCTCTTGAAAAGGTGCCAAGTCATAACAATATAAGATCTGATACCGTTATAGAACCGCCCGCCGCGATAATTGAGAGAAGCCAACCGGAGGGGTTGAAAAAGACTGAATTGCCTCAAAAAGTTTTTGTGTCTTACAACCGGAACAGCCAGCTAGTCCGCTTTGGCTTGTTAGCATCGCCTGCTTTAGGGCTTTTCATTTTTATTCTAGCGTAGATTGAGCTTGTCAGACAATTTTCTTTGTTTCGCGTAGAACTTTCCATAGACGCTTAAACTGATCGCGAGCGAAGCGAATAGAACAATAAAGCCAAGTATCGATAGAAAGATCGGTAACTGAGCATCGTGAAAGAAATCGAGTTGGAATTGCTCTCTGTTGTACAGCAGCAGCTTTAACTTCATATACACTGCTACGCTTCCCGCGAGGATGAAGCTGAACTGAATCCAGATCATGTGGAAAATCTCGCGATCGTCAATGGACGCCTTGTTAGAAAACTGAGAGTCTTTTGCGAGTTTGTAGAAACAACAGATAAGCGCCGCTGCGCTGTAAACTCTGTTTAGATAAATTTCGAACGTAGAGTTTACGTTGTGTTCCTCGATAGCGAAGAACGTCATGATGAGGGCTGAGTGGGTGCTGAGGTTGCTTACAGGAGAATAGCAGTCCCGCTGCCACAAGTGTCAATGCACTGCTGACTGGTTTCCCTATGTGTTTGCGGTTCAGAATCAAAATCGCAGGTCCCGGGATACGCGGGTTCCGGATGAATATCATTCTTGCGCTCCGGCGGACATCTGCACATAAAATCGTTTATAATGAATTGTGTGTGGCGAGAGGAGAGCAAATCTTCGTATTGTGTTTGCACCGCAGCAAAGACTTTCAAACGTTCTTTTGGCTCGGGTTCAAGCATGCCGAAAAGAATCTCGATGCATTCAGGGTCCAATTTGTCGAACAGCCGGTTGATGCGGACCTGCATCCCGCCGAGAGCCGTAGGAGGCTGCGTAGCAAGCCGCTCTCCTAACGTTGTGTAGACTGCGCTAAGTCGCTCTTGCCCAGCGAACGCTAGGTGCTGAGCAGCTATGTCTAAGACGGTGCTGCCCGCGAACAAGGGCTCACCAAGAGCGAGCTCCGCCACCAAACACCCGAGTGCCCATAAATCTGCGGCATGCGCCTCTACTGTTGCTGTGATCAACAATTCTGGGGCCTGATAGCTAAGCTTGACGAATTTGACAAAGCCGACAACTCCCGCGTAGTTCAGCTGAGCGTTGCAAAAGTTAGTCAATTTGGTGCTTCCATCAGACATTACTACGATGTTTTCAAGTCCAACGTTGTTATAACTGACGTTACGCTCGTACAAGTCGCGCATCGCAGCTGCAATCTGCAGTGCAAAGCTTCGCACCACTGCCGATGGCAGTCCATCGGGGTATGCTGCGAGTAGCGCGTTCAGCGGCACTCCATTAGCGTCGAGGACGAACTCGACCTGGTTCTCGCGAACTTCAAAAGTTTTCAGTTTTGCAACTGCAGCCGAGTCTACGTGTTGCAACATGATCAGTTCGCGGTACGTCGCTGGACTGCAAGACCCGTAACTTGAATCGCAATCTTTTACCACACGCATGTGGTTTAAGTTGCGCCTGTGTCTGCTCACGCGCCTGATCCGGCTGACCGCGAAATTTGCGTTTCGATTAGAAGTTTTTCATATTGTAATTTTGCCAGTAAAGCGGCGACCAGGCCAACTCAGCGCGGCCGTTCGAATGCCTGGTCATGTTATGATCGACACGGAATGGGTCTGTATTATGTCTCAATAGCAGTTTTGGAAGTCAGCAATCTGATCTATGATGCGCCCCGAGATTTTGTAAGTGGTGCGCGCTATGCTTTAGCTTGTCGTTGTCAGCTACGCTGACAAGGAATTCAAGACGCCCATTGCGTACAAGACTACCAAATACATAAACTTCGACGCAAAAATCATATGGGACCGAGTCGAGGTGCCGGACGACGGATTCGACAGTAGCAAGATCCGGTTCAGACTGGAAGCTGCGAACGTGCTGTGGTCGAATGACGTGCTCGGCTGTGCAAACGTGGACGCGGGGCCAATTGAACGGCGGACGAACAACACACTGGAGGCTACGGCGCCTTTCGTCAGCAGCGAGTCGGGCAACCTGGTCGGCTTGGTTAAGTTTAAGATTTGTGTAATTAGCCGCAGCGGTCTTGTCAAGACGCTCGACGACGCCGACGAAAACATCAACGCGGCGCAGCTGAACTTGTTGAATTCGGTCATCAATACGCAACAGACGCTGCTTTCTGCGCGCGTCACGCTCGTTCTGCGGTTCAACGTGATACGCATAGGCCTGGAAGCGCAGCTGGGAAATGCGCAGTTCTTTCGCATCCGCATGCTATTCTGCGGCGCGAATCTGTGTTCGAACCAGTTCAAAGCAGGAACGACAAATGTCAATTTGTGCTTCGTCTTTCCTATATCAGTGCAAAAACTTGAGGACACGATCACTTTGACTTTAGAAGTGGGAAGCGAATACAATTTCCGCTCGCTGTGTGAAGGCTATTTCTCGTACGAAACATTGCGCAGCAAGCCGTATACGCAGCGCTGGTGCAATTTTTATCACAAAAGCGGAACCGACGCAGAGAAGGAAGGTCACTTGCTCTGCAGACTGCTCGTTGCAGCTCAGGTCTGCAAGATCAAACGCTCGCAGGTTTCGTTTCCACCGACGATCCAGGCGATGAGCCGCAAAGCAGCGCACGAGTCAGTCTTTCTATTTATAGCGATTGAGCTGTACGAATTTTACACAGATGTCGAAGACGCAATGTATTTGAAGTTCACCTTTTTGGACACAGTGCAAGTAGTTAGACTTAGCAAACTCCGGGCGTCGGAGTCTTTTTCGAGTCACGGCAAAATCACGCAGTACATTTTCGACTATGACAACGGCTGTCTCATTCCGTTTAAGGTTGAGGCGCTGGACACGGATGGCCGATACATGCCACATCTGATCGTCGAGCTTTTCGGAGCAGGCCACAAGCGTCTCGGCTGGCATTCGTTCGATATCGAGCACGTGCAGATGCTGAAGGGCGACTCCAGCAACGTCTGCTGCTTTTGTTCCTACTTGCGAAACACAAAAAAAAAGCAGGTGGGCACGCTTATGATGAGCGCCGTCAAAGCCGTGCGGCAGTTCCACGATCAGCGGTACCGCAAAGTGTTGCGCTCGGAGAGAATGTTGCTGCGCTGTTACTTGTACGCACTGCGAAACTTGGCAATTGCAGACAGTAGCCTGTTCACGGCGCAAGTAGGTGTCGAGGTCACTTGCAACACGACGAAACAGAAAACAGTTCAGACCTACAACGCACCTAACAGCATTCCGCTGATGGAGCACCTGGAGTGCGAGGTTTCGTTATCCTTGGACGCGACCACCGGCATTCCGGTTTTCGTGCCTCTTCACTTTTCAGTGCACGATTACTATGCGCAGACGGTGCTCGGTCACGCGTACGTGGAAATTATGCGGATCGTCCTCGACGAACAGTACGAAAACCCGCCGACGCCGCGCTGGTGCAAACTCACCAAAGGCGACTCTGGTGTAGAATCCGTACCCGGTTTGCAGCGCGAAGAGCCCTTCGGCGCGCTCTTGCTGTTCACCGAGGCAGTGAAACTTGGCGAGAAGCGAGCCAATGTGCCGTACAGCATCTCGCCGACACTCGCCAACTACGAGCTCTGTCTCGCGGTGCTCTCATTGCGTTCTGTGATCAGCTTGCGATCGTACGCCAATTCGCGAAGCAAATCGCTGGACCTGAGCTCGTTGCAGGAGATGTCGTTGAAAATGCAGGCGCCGCTGATGGTTATCTCAGTGCCGCAGTACGATTCAGTCGTGAGCAGCAAGGTGATCACCATCACAGTTAGCTATGACAAAGAGAGCCACGCCTCTGCGGGTGTGAAGGTTGACAATTACTGCAGCTTTTCTGAGAGCGATTTCAACTGCTTCGATATTTGCGAAAACGTACTGCTCAAAGTTGCGCTGCCAACTGATCCGATCTGGGATCCGCTTCTAACGGTTCAACTGTTTGACCGCGAGTACAACGTGGATTCATTCGTGGCGCAGTTGCACATTCGGCTTGCGCCGTACTTGTTCTCGTACTACATGAAGGTTGAGGAGCGACTCAGGAGCGTTTTGAGCCCGCTGATAGAAAAGGTTGACATTCGGCTGCATCGCGAGATTTTGCGCGGCGTACAATCTTTGGCGCGCGTAAAAGCCGAAAAGCTCACCGAGCGCAACCTCAAGAGCAAGCTTCAGGACGCCGGCGAGGCGCGTGAGAACGAGGAACAGGCGTCTGCGGCAAACACCATAATGCCCGAGAGCTACGGTCAGGACGGCGTGGCATTCGCGCAGAAGACAATGCTGAGAGACTTGCAGAAACTCGGAGTGCTCCGCCGTTACATGAAAGCGTCGAAAGTCCGGCCGTACACTACGCTCGTGTGCCGGAACACTGTGATTGTGAAGAGTGCGCCGGAGTCGCAGCTTTACCGCCTGCACAAGGTGCGCACAGGCGAGAGCCGCAACAAGTATTACAAAGACCGCATCGTGTTGGAACAGGATGACGTGCAGGACCCGAACCGCAGCGGCTGGGTCTCGAAGGCGTTCGCGCGGCAGGAATCGGCGTTGGAGATCCCGTTGATATTCGGCTACCTGCTGCACAGCGTGGCGCTCGTATCCGAGCGCAACAAGGTAATGGCGGACGTGCCGGCCGCGCAACTGCCGCTGGTAGTGCGTAAGAACCTCTTGCTCGAGTGGTACGCGTCGAACTGCGTGGACCGCTTTTGGAAGGTGCGCATCGCGGTGTTCACGGTGCGCAAACTGGTGTACAAGTACTTGATCGGCTCGTTCGTCTCGCCGCAGTTCGAGCTAAACGTGTACGTGGGCGGGCGGCTGGTCGACACAGTTCCGTTCGAAGTCGAAGAAGACGTATATTTGAACTACGTACTGGAAGTTACGATCGGGGTGCCGCACGAGAGTTTGGTGTACATTGTGGTCACACTGTGGACGAACAATACGTTGAGCTTTTCGAAGTCGCGCGCGATGATCGGTTTCGTGCGGCTGGACTTGCTGCAGCGCGCGATGGCGATGTATGCGGACCCGGCGCAGACGCTTAGTTGCAAGCGCGAGATTCACCCTATTCGGCGGCTCAGCGGCAGCGCGGAGTGCATGGGCACGATGAGTCTACAGCTGGACCTGTGCGATTCCGGAGTGGTTCTGCCGAGCTTCGTCGGTGACAAGAGCGACGAGTACAACCCCGTGGAGCTGCGCGTAGCGATTTGGGGCTGCCAAAATTTGCGCTACTACACGAAAGGCGCGGACGGCGTGCCGAAGCTGAGTGATGAAGAGCTGCTCGACGTGTACATTGCGGGATCTTTGGAGTCCGCGCAGTACACGCAGTTGTTGCAGAAGACGGACGTGCACTACGGCTGCGTTAACGGGATCGCGAAGTTCAACTACCGCTTTGTGTACGATGAGATCAACGTCTCGCGCACGTCGCGGTTCGTGTTGCGACTGACGGCGTTCCAGTTCTACACGATTCAGCCGAGCGAGCTGATCGGCGAAGTGTTACTTGACCTGCGCAAATTCATCCTGTACGTGAGCAAGACGTCCGAATCTTTGTCCTATGACGTGGAGCTCTCGTTGCTAAAGGGCGAGCTCGAGACCGGACTGATCCTGGTGAACCTCAGCGTGGTGCCTGCGGCCGAGGCGCTGCAGCGACCGATTGGCCGCGCGCGCGACGAGCCAAACCGCGACCCTGAGCTAATTGCGCCTTCGCAGGGCCGCAGTTGGAGCGAGTTTCTCGGCGCGGGTCCGCGTAACTATCACTACAACGCAATGCTTTTCTACTTGCGGCTTGCGTTCGTAGTTGTAGGCTACTTGAGCTTCTTCGTTATCGGTTTCGTCCGGCCCTCGATCTTTTACTCCTACAGCGAGAAGGAGTAGCAAATTATATTTCTAATTTCATGTCGGACGAGCTCGACATCTACGCGCTGGACGTCACCGCTCTCGCGCAAGACGCGGCGCAGGCCGGTGAGGCGCTGCGGCTGCTCGAGACGCGGCGCGCCGACATCGCAGCTGAAATCCGCTCGCTGGTCCACACGCTCACCGCGCCAGGCATGCCCGGGCTACGCGGCAACCTCGACGTCGACGGCTTCCCGCGCGACGACCTGGACATCCCGTTCGTGCTCTCAAAGCGCCAGCGCTACAACTGTCTGAACAACGACTATACGCAAATCATGAAGTTAATCGAGGCGCTGTTGCCGGCCGCGCTTCCGCGCGCAGACTGACTATGCGCGCGACTGGCTGTTCGGTCCGCGCTTCGGGCCCAGCGAGGGGCGCAAGAAGCGCTTGTTGTATTGCACACGCTTCCTGTAGCGACCCAGTGGTCGCTTCCGCTTTTCTTGCTTCGCGACTTTCGGAGTTTGCGACTTGACTTTTCCGGCGCGCGCCAAAGACCCGTGAACCTTGCCTGCTTTCGGCGCAGAATGACTTACCCATGCTTGTCAAATGATTAAATAAATATAATTGTTTTGTCGGGCATCGCGCCGCAGCTGCGTCCTGCGTCTCTACTCCGTGACGCACTGAGCTTCCGCGCTATGCTTGATTAAAAATGATCTAGAGCTAAACTGCTACCAGTCCTCAGGAACAAATTCCTCTTTGAAGTTGGGGTTCTCTTTGAGTTTTTCCGAGAGCGACTCTTTCCATGGGAACGGGTGATGTGTCACCCGGTAATTGACCGGCGTAGAGCACTCCAAGCTGAGCATCGCGCGGAGCAGGCGGCCGTTCGCATGCGGCAAGCGTACCAAAAAGAAGCCGAGCTCCTCGTGGAAGCGCACGCGTATGTCCAGCTCGTGCGGTATGTATTCTTTTTTCCCGTCGGGCGGCAGCGTGTAGCGCTCAAAGTCGTATTGTTGGAGCAAAGTGGCGGAGAGGCGGCGCACAAAGTAGCACTTGCGCTCGCCACTCGTTAAGAGACGGTACGGGACTTCAGATGCCGTGCCCCTTAGCGCTTTCCGGCTTTCCTTCAGCAGCTCCAGGTCCTCCTCCGTCACACCTTTAGGGAGTATGCGGAGCGACGACCTGAACTCGGGATTCGGGTCGTACTTGTCGTTACGCCACTCGTCGCTGTCGTCAAATATGGGTTTGTCGGGGTAGAACGAGTGGTACTTCGAACAGTCCGTGTATTCGACTGGGACCTTCAGATCATGGAAACACCAGAAATCCATTTCCACCTTGATCCAGTGATACTCGCCGTCCGGATCTTTGTTGTTTAAGTAATAAGTCTGGAGTGTATGCGGCTGGAGCAGGTAAAGGTTCCTGGCAACCGGAACATCATGGTACCAGTAAGCGCTTGGGTCGATAATTCCTGCGCAGAGCAGTGCAAGTAGTGGCAAGAGCGATCTTCCGGTTTTCATAGTTTCGAACAGAAATTTCAATGGATCAGTTTATTTGGCGTCTTCGGCTACACGGCGGGAGACAGCGTCGCAACGAGACGCTGTCTCCCACCGCACCGAACGCGTCTTACGGACTACCCACTTCGCGGCGTCATTCTTTTTTCTGCAGCTGCTGCACATACTTGTGCTGCAGGCTGCCACAGGAGAGCTCGTCCACCCACAGCGAGGCGCGCGGGTGCAGCCGGAGGCAGGTCGCCGGACAATTCTCGCTCAACTCGCCCGCCACCACCCAGCGCACCGCCTGGGCCTTCTCGGCGCCCGTGGCGACCACTAGCACTTCGCGCGCGTCCAAAAACGTGCCTAACCCGACAGAAATCGCTGTTTTGGGCACATCCTCTTTGCGCTCGAAAAAGCGCGCATTCGCTGTTCGCGTTGCTTCGCTGAGCGTGACTGCACGAGTGCGGCTAAAGAACGATGAGCCTGGTTCGTTGAACGCAATGTGCCCATTCGTGCCGATTCCGCCCAAGAACAAGTCGATGCCGCCGGCCGCCGCGATTTGCGCTTCGTACTCCGAACCTTCCATGCGGTCGGTGAGAAAGTGCACGTTCGTTCGCAGAACGTCGATGTGCTTGACGAAGTTCTCGTGCAAAAAATTGCGGTACAGTGCAGATTTCATACAGCAGTCGCGGTACTCGTCCATGTTGAACAACACCACGTGCTTGAAGGAAACGGCGCCCCGTTTGTGCAGCTCGATGAGCGCGCGATAGATCGGCAGCGGCGTGCTGCCGGTAGGCAGTCCCAGCACGAAGCTGCGGTTCTCGCGCTCAGCTTTGTTTACGGCTTCGGCAATGTGTTCCGCAACGGCCTTGCTGAGAGCGCCGGGGTCTGCAATGTAGTTGACTTGCATCGTTGCTGCTGCGTGTAAAATATAAATTCCGAACGAGAAACGTAACGATGCGCGCGCGCAGCAAAAACGCTTAGGCGCCGTCGGCGTCCGGCGCGTTTGCCGTGTTGAACTTGCGGAACAGCGCGAGCGAGTGCGCAAAAGTGTGGCTGCGCAGGTGCCGCGCCTGTTTAGCGAGCAGTTTGTTTAGTTCCTTATCAAGGTCTGCGAGCGTGCGGAGCGCGTTTTCGCGGTCCACCGAACTCATCTTCTGCTGGAGCGCGGCGCGCGTTTCTTGCGTCACTTCGCGCTTGCGGGCCAAGCTGCGTCAACGGTCTTTGCACTTACGTCGTTTGCACCGGCACGCTCGCGCCGTAGTACACCACGCTGTATGGCGGCTCGTTCAGCGTGCGCGGATCGCGCAGCAGTGAGCCGCGCGCCGCGGCCGCGAACGCGCTAAGTGCGAAAGCTCTCATCTAAAACGCCGGCGCTAGGTCTGCGAACGCCGCCAAAGTTTCGGAAACGGGCCGGTCGAGCCAGTCTGCGTCGGTGACTGCGCGCGGGGCTGTGGCGAAGAGCGGGTCTGCGTCTTCGGAGAATTTTATAAACGGGAATCTATTTTGAATGACTGCGCGCAGAAAGCGCGTCAGTTCTGCGTGTACCTTTTGCGGCGAGTCGTGCGTCGCTGAGAGCCAACAACGCTGCGTGGCCGCGAACGCGCGCTCGGTGCGCGCTGCTGCTTCGGCTGCGGCTGCTTCCGGTGCGGAGACGAGGTCGCGCTTGTTCAGCACGTACAGCAACACCGCGCTGCCGCTCAGAGCGTTCTCGCGAGCGATCTTGTCGAGTTCGGCGCGCGCGAGCTCGCGGCGCGACGCGTCGCTGGCGTCCACCACCCACACCACGCCGTCCGTGCCATAGTAGCAGTTCGTCCAACAACTGCGAAAGGTTTCGTGGCCGCCGATATCCCAAAACTCGATTTGGACGCTGCTGCGCGCGGCGCACACTTACTGCTGGAAGCGGCAGTGGCGAATGGCGAAGCCCAGCGTTGGTTCGACCGCGTCGACGGACTCGCCGAAGAAGCGGCGGAGCAGCGTGGACTTGCCCGAGTTGTCGAGGCCGCTGCGTGAGCCGAACGCGCACTTACAGGAGAACCACGCGCACTTTGCGGCGGCGCGGCTGCATGAAATGCGCAAATAATGTAATTTTCGAAACAATGGGCTCGGCGCTGCGCTCCAGCGCGCGGCGCGCTTGGCACGTCGACGCGACCCCGGCGTTTGCGGCGTGGCTCGCAACAAAGGCGTTCGCGCGCGACGTGTTCCGGCAGCTCGTCAGCGAGTTCCGCGCGCCGGACTTCAACCTGCGCAGCTGCAGCGCGGTCGGCCAGTCGCTGTTCTTCGGCGACTTCGCGCCAATGACCCGCGAGAACGCGTTTGCGATTTTGGAAAGCAGGCCCGCCGACGGCTTCGAGCGCGTGCGACAGCGCTACGTGGCGTTGATGAGCGCCAACCAGCCCACGCGCGACTTCGTCGGCTCGCCGTACCTGCAGAAGAAAGTGCACGAGGCGTGGCGCGTCGCGCGGCGCTCGCTGCGCAAACAGCGCTAGCGTGCGGCGCGTCGCGGCACGCACGTGCGGAACGCGCGCAGCGTGGCTTGCGGCAGCGCCGCGCCGCATTCGGCCATGCGTGTGCACCATGACGTGTTTGAAGTACCAGCTTCACACCTGCGTCAATCCGGCCGTCAAGGCGCTGTTGAAGGCGCGCCAGCCGGCCGCCGCGCCGCGCCTCTACCCCTCCTCGTGGTTGCCGCGCAGTTCCGAGGAGCAGCTCTGCGTCCCACGGGGCGCGACGCTGCTTGCCGCAGACAGCTGCGGCGACGCGCTCGGAGAGAGCGGCTCCGACTCCGGCTCCGGCTCCGGCTCTGGCTCTGAGCCCGGCTCCGGCTCCGGCTCCGGCTCTGAGCCCGAGTTGGCCTTTGCGTTCTGCGGCGCGACCGCGCGGTGGACCGCGGCGCGGCGCGCGGACGTCTTGGCCTACGCGCCGTTTGTCCAGGCGCACGTCTTGGTGTACGCGGTCCGCTACGCGCAGCAACTCGGCAAGTTCAGCGCGTGCTTCGTGACAAACCTCGAGTTGGAGCTGAAGCGCATGATCCACTACATCGACGCGAAGCTGACTGCCTTCGAGGCGCAGGGCGCGAGAAGGTGCTGGCGCCGCGCGCCGCGCAGCGTCGCGGAGCGCGTGCTCAACTACCCGAAGCACCTACAGCAGCTGCTGCAAGCCGCGCGCGGCGCCGCGTCCGCGGCCGCGCCGTTCGACGCGCGCGCCGCGACGCGAACCATTCCGCGCGCGGCGGACTTCTTAGAGCTCGCGGCGCTGTCCGTGCTCTTCGCAATGCCGCGGCAGCAGCTCATTCCAAACAAATTTAAGAAGAAAGTGCAGGAAGAAGTCTCGGTGCTCACGCTCGCGGTGCTGGCAGACTTGCAGGACTACGCGCAGTCGGCGAACCTGCTCGCGCTCTTCTGCTGCTTGCCGAAGCTCGCGAAGGTGGCGCCGATTCCCGTGCTGCAGTACTTGAGTTTCTCGGCGAGCAAACTGCTGCCAGACCAACAGGGCGCGCCGCGCGCGCTGCTCGCAGAATTCCAGACGGCGCTGGCGCAGAAGCTCGAGTCGCTGAGCCGCAAGTAGCAGAATTAACGTGCACCAATTTCTTTAAATCGATCGCTGCGAACGCTAGTCGCCTAGAAGCAGCGCGATGCTGTACAGAAAAGATTGCGATCTTTTCTCGGTTCTGGGGCTGAGCAACGCGTCGCAGTCCAGCGAGTTCGCGTCAAACGGCCTCGACGGCTGGACGGACGTGACGGACCTCGACGAAAACGCGGGAGCGCGGTTCGGCACAGTCGCCAGCGGCGGGTCCGCGCCGCTAGACTTCGCGCTCAGCAGTTTGCCGCCGTGCAGCGAGTCCGAGAGCTGCGCGCGGCCGCCGCACGGCACCTTCTTCGCTGATCTGCGGGAAGTTGCGGACAGCGCTTGCGCGAGCTGCTCCGCCGCAGACAGGCGCACGCGCTGCGCGCCGGAGAGCGTCACGGTGTCGGCAAGCCTTCTGTCGCGCATTCACAAGCGAATCGGCGCCATCAAGAGCGAGTTGCACCAGTTGCGCAGCGCTGCGAAAGCGCGCGCGGAGCACTTCGAAATGCTCAACCGCTGCCTCGGCGAGAACGCGAGATTGCAGCTCGCGCCCGCGCCCGCGCCGGTCTCTCCGCAGAGCGCTGGAAGCGCCGCGAACGCCCCGCGCGCTGCGCACGCGGACGGAGTCGACGCTGCAGCCAACTGCCAACCCGCCGTCGGCGAAAACTTCGGCGCCACGCGCGCGCCTTGTGTTTGCGCAAACGCTGTGCAGGCGGCGAACGCCGCCAGAGAATTGCCGGTTGCGGAGCGCACGACCGAGTGCGAGCTTGCGCCGCTGCTGCCAGATGCGGGCGGCGCGCGAGACTTGCGTCGCGCCCAAAGCTGCGGGGCGCAGAGCGCCGCCGCTGCCTGCAGATCGCAGTGGGCGGTTGAGCGCGCAAGAGAGCACGCGGTTTTCGCTGTGCAGGACGCTGCGTCGCGCGCGGCGCGTGCTTCTGCGCACTGCCCAGTGGTCACCCCCGCAGCCCGCGCCGCGGAGCAGTCGGAGACGCACCAGTCGCTGCAAGGCCAGGCGCGAGCTGTTTCGGAGAAAGCGGTTTCTCGAGGCAGCAGGGAGATATTCAGCAGAAAGCGCAAGCAGCGCAGCCGCGCGGGCAGCGCCGAGTCGCTAGCGCCGCCGCGTTCCGCGCCGCGTTCCGCGCAGCGCTGCTGCGCGGAGCTTGCAGCCGCGCCGCGCGCGACGCCGCCCGCTGCGCGCCGCACAGCGCTCGCGCAAGCGCCCAAGAGCGCAACGGACGCGAAGGCGGCGGAACGGCAGCTCGAGGTAATCGACGAGTACTTGCGAAAAATTCGCTGCGTGTACGGCGGCAACGTGCCGTCGAACGTAAGTTTTGGCCGAGTGTACGCAGACGAAAGTGCTGAACCGAGTTCGGCTGCTAATTGCGCGGCGAGCCGAGCTGACGCGCGCGCTCGCGCTCGCGCGCGGCAGCGAATTCGGAGTCTAGGAACTCCAGCGCGTCCGCGAAGCGCGCGTCGCAGGCGCTCGTCGCGCGGGAGTACGCGCGCTGCAGCGCCGCGAGCTCGGCTTCCAGCGCGGCGTTCTCTGTTTCGACTTGCGCCGCAGCCGAGTCAAGCTCTGCCGGCGACAGCGCCGGCGGCGAGAAAATTTGCGCGAGGTCGGCGGCGCGCGGCGCAAGAGCTTTGCGCCGCTCGGTCTCCGCGTCCAGAAGCTTCGCGGCTTCGAGGAGCCACGGGAGAGCGGGCTGGTCTACGGTGAAGTTCACGAACCGCACGCCGTCGAGAGCCGTGTTTACGGCCGCGCGGCTGTCCGTCTCGCGCGCGAGCGTGCGCAGCGCCGTGAAATCCGCCGGCGCGATGACTTTCGCGTCGCGCGCCATCAGCGCGACCGCTTTGCGCACGAGCAGCTGCGTCGCGCGCTCGCGGTAGCTGCTGCCGCGCAGCTGCAGCGCCGCGCAGAGGCGATCGGCGAGCTCGGACTCGTCCGTCGGCACGAGCAGCGCGCGCGCAGCCAGGTGTTCTGGCGCCCGCAGCCGCGCGTTCAGCAGGTTCGCCAGCGCGACCTGGCTCGGCTCCAGCGTTTCGCGCAGCGGCGGGTGCTGCAGTTCGTCCGGCTCGGAGTCGGACGCGGCGGTCGGCGTCGCGACGCGGATCAAACCGCCGATGTACAAGCGGTGCTGCAGCAGTGCGTCGAGGTCGAGCAAGCCTTTCGCGATGGGCTGCGAGGCGAACGCCGGCGTCGAGCCGCCCGTGTGCGCGACGGGCTCGTCGCCGTGTTGCAGTTGCAAGACCAAGTTCAGCGCGTGCGTGAGCTCGTCGCTCTTGATCGCGGCGCTGAGCGGCTGCAGCGCGGCCGCGCCGTTCGCGGCCGCCGGCAGGTGCAGCTTCGCGCGCTTGGACGCGGGCTCGGCTGTCGGCTGGTCGAGCAACTCGAGCACGCACTCGCGCTTCGCGTTCGCGTTGCCGCTGCGGTGTTGCCGAATTTTTTCCTCGATCCGGCGGTTCTCGGCCGCAGCGCGCTCCGCGAGGCGCGCCTTCTGCGCGTCGCTCAGCTCTTGTTCGTGCGCCGCGGGGAGAAGCGGCTGCGCAGGCTGTCGGAAAAACGGAATCACGTCTTGGTACCGGAACAGCTCCTTCGCGTACTTCGACTGGACGACCGCCTTCGCGCCGAGCACGGAGCACTTGATGCGGTCGAGCTCGTGCTTGCGCTCGTTCAGCAGCTGGTCGCGCAGCTTTCGTTTCAGCTTTTTGCCCTTGCGGTTGGCCATGCGCGCGCGCGCCTCCGCGAGCATTTCCTGGTCTGCCGCCTCCAGCGCGCCGACCGTGGAGAGCGGCGCTTGCAGGTGTGGGTTGAGCTCCGCTCGAATGAGGCGCAGATGCTCGGCGTCTGCCGCGGAGCCGGCGTGCGTCAGTTCGTGGTACGTCTCGATGCAGTCATGCACGCTGCGGTGCAGCGCCTGCGCGACGGTGCGCCACTGCGCGGGAAAGGTCAGCTTCAGTTCGAGCAGCGTTTGCTTCTCGACCTCGGTCCAGGGCCGTTGCGTCAGCGCGGGCAAAATGTAGTCGTGCCAGCGCGTCTCGCAGTCGAAGGCGGTCTTCTTCGCCATCAGGCTCGCGATGCGCGCCCAGTTGTTCGCGCCGTACTTCATCACGCCCGCTTTGAGCATCTCGTCTTCGACGTCGCGCCAGACGCTGGTGTGGCGCTCGCCGAAGTTGAACATCGCCGGAACTAGAGCGCAATCAACTCCTCTTCGAGAGTTGCGCCGGCGTTGGCGCTAGTCAGTCCGCGAAGGGGCGCAGCGGCGAGGGCGTCTGGCTGCGATTAAATTTACGTATTAATTTCGCGGTCGTCCGCAGCGCCATTTTCTGCAGCGGCTCCGGGCGTTCGAGCAGCTCTTGCTTCGCGAGAGTCAGCGCGCAGGCGCGCTTGCCGCGGACGTCGACGCTGCGTGCGCTGTCGAACAACTTACAGGGTGAAGCCGGCGAGGCCCTCGCAGTCGAGGCGCGGCCGCGTGAACGCGGCCTTGAAGCAGACGGCGCGAGCGGTCTCCTTGCGGAATTCAAGCCAGTGTCCCGCGGGGCAGCGGAAGCGCTGCGCGAGCGCGCGCGAGAGCGTGCAGCGGCCGTCGGCGAGCTCGCGGTCGAGGCCGGTCCAGAAGTGAGCGTGGCTGGCGCGGCGCAAGTCTTCGGGGGTCCGCTGCGCGAGACACACGCGCTCTGGTCGGTACGCGATAATGCGCACGCAAGCGGCAAGCTCGTCGCTCCACGCGTAGCTCTCTGCGCACTGCGCCGGGTCAGGGCGCGACTCGCGGTACGCGTAACCGGCGCACACGATCGCAGGCCCCGCACGCTCAACGGAAGCGCTCGCGGGGCACACGAAGAAACGTTGCATGTCCACAGTCGCGCAGTTCAGCGTTCGCTTGGCAGCCGTCTTGCCGTTCATCGCGGCGCGCAGATTCGCCAGCGCTGTCGCGAACTCGTCGGGCGACGCGCGGTCCGTGGCACGGCCACTGCGGAAGCCGTGGTAGCGCTCGCGCTCGAGAGTGTCGTTGAGCCGCAAGCCGTCGGGCTGCGAGCTTTTGTTCAGCGGGCCGCCGCTCTGTGACATTTGGTCGTATTCTCTGCAAATCTGTTTTGGTTCGTTTTCGGCGCTAGCCGGTGCGCAGCGCGAGCCACTGCGTGACAGCGCCGCATGAGTCGCGGCAGACGCCGCAGTCGGCGTCGGAAACGCGCATTTGTGCACCGCAAGAAAGCGCAGGTCAACTTCCTGCGCGGCGAAGCGCGCCGGCGCGCGGCAGGCGTAGCGGCGGAACTCGTCGAGCACGCCGGTGCGGTCCGGCAGCGGCACCAACTCGAAGCCCTCGTCGCACTGCTGCGCCTTGGCTTTCACGACCGTCTCGTAGTGCACGCAGACATCCGCGGCCGACGCGTAGTACGACGGCAGGTCGAGCAGCTGCTTGTCGTGCCTGCACAAAACGTCCCACGCTTCTGCCGCTGACGCGGAGGAGGTCGCCTCAGACCGAAGCCAGAAGTCCGCTGCCGAGCGCGCACCAGAAAGCGGTCCGTCCGGCTTTCTGCTGGAGTGGCTGCGCGGCTCGGCGCCTGGCTCGGCGTGCGGCTCGGCGCCTGGCTCGGCGTGCGGCTCGGCGCCTGGCTCGGCGCCTGGCTCGGCGCCTGGCTCGGCGCGTGGCTCGGCGCGTGGCTCGGCGC